GCAAATTTACCTCAAGTGGATGATCTAAGGTTTATCAATCCGTAGGAGGCGTAGGATGAAGATGGTCTCTCTCAAGCAACCCTGCAACCAAATAAGAAAGAGTCTCTTGTGTCCCCAACACACCCAATACAATGGTAAATTGTATAGGTGCACTAGTTCGGCGAAGAGATGGTGATACAAGTGGTATATGGATGGTAGATAAAGGTTTTTGTAATCTGAAAATATAAAAACAGCAAGGTAACTAATGATAAAAGTGAGCACAAACGGTATTGCAATGCGTTGAAACAAGGTCTAGGGTTCATACTTTCACTAGTGCAAGTTCCCTCAACAATAATAACATGATTGGATCATATAACTATCCCTCAACATGCAACAAAGATTCACTCCAAAGTCACTAATAGCGGAGAACAAACGAAGAGATTATGGTAGGGTATGAAACCACCTCAAAGTTATTCTTTCCAATCAAGTTGTTAGGCTATTCCTATAAGTGTCACAAACAGCCCTAGAGTTCGTACTAGAATAACACATTAAGACACAAATCAACCAAAACCCTAATGTCACCTAGATACTCCAATGTCACCTCAAGTATCCGTGGGTATGATTATACGATATGCATCACACAATCTCAGATTCATCTATTCAACCAACACATAGAACCTCAAAGAGTGCCCCAAAGTTTCTACCGGAGAATCATGACGAAAACATGTGCCAACCCCTATGCATAGGTTCATGGGCGGAACCCACAAGTTGATCACCAAAACATACATCAAGTGAATCACGTGATATCCCATTGTCACCATAGATACGCACGGCAAGACATACATCAAGTGTTCTCAAATCTTTAAAGACTCAATCCGATAAGATAACTTCAAAGGGGAAACTCAATCCATTACAAGAGAGTAGAGGGGGAGAAAACATCATAAGATCCAACTATAATAGCAAAGCTCACGATACATCAAGATCGTATCAACTCAAGAACACGAGAGAGAGAGAGAGAGAGAGAGAGAGAGATCAAACACATAGCTATTGGTACATACCCTCAGCCCCGAGGGAGAACTACTCCCTCCTCATCATGGAGAGCACCGGGATGATGAAGATGGCCATCAGAGAGGGATTACCCCCTCCGGCAGGGTGCCGGAACTAGTCTAGATTGGTTTTTGGTGGCTACGGAGGCTTCTGGCGGCGGAACTCCCGATCTATTGTGCTCCCGGATGTTTTTAGGGTATATGGAGATATATAGGAGGAAGAAGTGCGTCAGGGGGGCCACGAGGGGCCCACGAGGGTGGAGGGCGCGCCCAGGGGGTGGGCGCGCCCCCCTGCCTCGTGGCTTCCTCATTGATCCCCTGACGTGCAGTCCAAGTCTTCTGGGCTTCTTCTGATCCAAAAATAAGTTCCGTGAAGTTTTAGGTCAATTGGACTCCGTTTGATTTTCCTTTTCTGCGATATTCTAAAACAAGGAAAAAACAGAAAGTGGCACTGGGCTCTAGGTTAATAGGTTAGTCCCAAAAATAATACGAAAGTGTATAATAAAGCCCATAAACATCCAAAACAGAAGATAATATAGCATGGAGCAATCAAAAATCATAGATACGTTGGAGACGTATCAGTCTCTAATATTTGCTCCTTTTCCAGTCCAGAATTCCAGCTGCCGGCATTCTCCCTCTTCATGTAACCTTGTAAAATAAGAGAGAATAGGCATAAGTATTGTGACATAATGTGTAATAACAAACCATAATGCAATAAATATCGATATGAAAGCATGATGCAAAATGGACGTATCACCAACCCCTATGCATAAGTTCACGAGGTCACGGAACTCGCATGTTGATCACCAAGACATACATCAAGTGAATCACGTGATATCCCATTGTCACCACAGATAACCACATGCAAGACATACATCAAGTGTTCTCAAATCCTTAAAGACTCAATCCGATAAGATAACTTAAAGGGAAAACTCAATTCATCACAAGAGAGTAGAGGGGAGAAACATCATAAGATCCAACTATAATATCAAAGCTCGCGATACATCAAGATCGTTCCGAATTAAGAACACGAGAGAGAGAGAGAGAGAGAGAGAGAGAGAGAGAGAGAGATCAAACACATAGCTACTGGTACATACCCTCAGCCCCGATGGTGAACTACTCCCTCCTCGTCATGGTGAGCGCCGGGATGATGAAGATGGCCACCGGAGAGGGATTCCCCCCTCCGACAGGGTGCCAAAACGAGTCTAGATTGGTTTTTGATGGCTACAAAGGCTTGCGGTGGCGAAACTCTTGATCTAGGTATCTTTCTGGAAGTTTGGGTATATATAAGAGGTGTTGGAGTCCGGAACAAGTTAGGGGGTCCCCGAGGTAGCCACGAGGTAGGGGGTGCGCCCAGGGGGTAGGGTGCGCCCCCCACCCTCGTGGGTGCGTCAAGACTCTTCTGGCCCATCTCCGGTACTCCGTGGGCTTTTTTGGTCCAAAAATAATCTCCGCGAATTTTCAGGTCAATTGGACTCCGTTTGGTTTTCCTTTTCTTCAATACTCAAAAATAAGGAAAAAGCAAAAACTGGCACTGGGCTCTAGGTTAATAGGTTAGTCCCAAAACTCATATAAAATAGCATATAAATGCATATAAAACATCCAAGATTGATAATATAATAGCTTGGAACATTCAAAAATTATAGATACGTTGGAGACGTATCAAGCCGCGTGGAGCGCCCGATGAGAGGTCGGGCGGGCGCCGAAGAAGTCGGGGACGGGGACGCGCGGTACGGGCATGGAGTACACGTGAACGATCCCCGTCCAGGGGTTCTAGCAGACCTGCCAGGGCACCGACGGGAGCTGCTACTGCGGGTGGCGCGGCGCCCCGCCTTGGGCGGCCAGCTGCTGCTGCTGTTGCTTGCGGCTGCCGCGGCCACTGCGGCGCTCGGCGGGGGGCGGCGGCGGAGCCTCCTACTGCTGCGGGTAGGGGAACCCGGGCGGCGGCGGCGCCTGGAAGGGGCCCCGTCCAGGCCGCGACTGAGGGGCCAGGGCGGTGGGCGGCGCGCCACCACGGGTACCGGCGGTGAGGGCCATGTGAGTGGCCCGTGTACGCGACATTCGCATCCTCCTCTCCTCCAGCTTCAGGTATGCCACGATCTTGGGGAAAATTGGGGTGGTGATGAGGGGGATGTTGGAGGTGGTGTTTCCGAAGTCGTCGTTCAAGCCGGCAATGAGTGTGCTGAGAAGGAGCTCATCGGAGACCTTCTCACCATGGTCACGGAGCTCGTCAACAAGCTTCTTAAGGCGCATGCAATAATCGCCAACGGACGAGTCATGCTGCTGGCATCCAAAAAACTCGATGTGCAAGAAAATCTTGCGCTGAAGCGCGCTGTCGATGAAGAGGCCGTTGAGCTTGGTCCAGACGGCGTGAGCGTTATCCTCGGCAGAGACCATCGTGTGGAAGAGGTCCTTCGAGATGGTGGTGTAGAACCAACGAATGAGAGTGGCGTCGATGGTCATCCACTCCTCATCGTCCTCCATGAACCGGGAATCCACGGAGCCATCCATGTGATCCCGAAGATTGTACTCACGGAACACAAGGGGAAGAACGTCTTCCAGGCATAGTAGGTGGAGATGAGATGTTCGAGGACGACGAAAACCCGATCGAGGATGTTGAGATCACGGATGATGACGGGGTCGGGGGAGGCGAACGGGTTGGTGCGGGTGGTGCCGGAGAAACAGGGGAAGCCATGGGTCCGGGAGCGAAGGTGGTGTGGTGGCACGCGGGGAGGGCGGCGTGGCAAGGGAGAGGCGGCACGGCGATGCGAGGGCGGCAGTGCGGTTAGGGTTAGGGAGGGAAGGCAGAAGCGTGTGAAGAAGGCGGCGACTGGACACAGGCGGCGGCGCGGCGGCGGGGGCTGAGATGAGATCGCGTCGGCGGCGGCAGAGGGTTAGGGTTTAGGATCGAAGGTATGATACCATGTTGGAAACGAGAATTTTGACAATGCTACATGATATACTGATCGGTGCATAGTGCACGTATATATGGAGTAGAAAGTGGGTCATAACCTATATACAATACAAACCATATGTTCAGCCGCTGAAACATTCTTATTAGCGCGATCTAGTAATTTTCGTACAAACTCCTTTTTTAGCATAGTAAAATAGCATATGCTCATATACACGCATTGATCTAGTAATTTTAGTACAAACTTTTTTTTAGCTGTGAATACACGCACAGTACTCCCAGAAAAATGCTAGCATTAATGCAAGTCTAGGAGTTAACCTAACAATCTGAGTGACGGTTACATTTCGTAACAGAGTGAAGTCTATTTCCAGAAGACGCAAAGCTTACGTTTCATTTACTCCCTCCGATCCATAATATAATAATAAGTGTCGCTTATTGAAAAGCATGACAGTTATTTAGGAGCGAAAGAAATATCATTTTATTGGTAGGTAGTAGAAGTAGACCGGCCAATGTATAAAGAACGGAAATGATCGAACAGAGTGACACCCATATCGACAATAGTGCTCCTCTGCTCAAATAGTAGAACGAACATTACACTTTCGAGCCATGCGCAAAACTCATATTGCGCGCACGGCTCACACACAAACCATCAACTACGCTACACCAAACTGAACCCAGCAATTCGACGCAACACTAGGACGATACTCAAACCCAACAGCCACATATCCAAGCTTGTTTTATTGGGACTCTCACCACCAGAGGCACTATTATTCTCGCATCCTCCTCGTCTGAGCAGAAAGAAGCAGCCACGCGCCCAATGCTGTCTACCCCGTGATCTGGACGGGCTTGACGTCGGGCTTCTTGGCCTCCGCCTTGGGCACGGTGACGGTGAGCACGCCGTTCTCCATGGCCGCCTTGATCTCCTCGGACTTCACGTTGTCCGGGAGCCTGAACCGGCGCAGGAACTTGCCGCTGCTGCGCTCCACGCGGTGCCAGGTGCCGGTCTTCTGCTCCTGCTCCTTGTTCCGCTCGCCGCTGATCTGCAGCACGTTGCCGTCGTCCACCTCAACCTTCACCTCCTCCTTCTTCAGCCCCGGGACGTCCGCCTTGAACACGTGCGCCTCGGGCATCTCCTTCCAGTCGATGCGCGCGCCGGCGAAGGCCGCGGTGTCGGAGCTGGTGGTGCGCGGGAAGATGCTGCCGCTGCCGGAGCCGAAGGGGAAGCCGTCGAAGGGGTCCCAGAGGTCGAGCGAGAAGGGGTCGAACACGTCGCCACGGCGGATCAGCGACATCGTCAGCGGGCTGGCGAGAAGCTGCTGATGAATCTTTTGTTTACTGGTGGAGTGGTGCGTGAGCGCGAATGGCTTGTGCGATCGAGATCAAAGAAGCTTTCGATGGTTTTTCTCTGCCGGTCTTGGGACGGAGCCAATGCAGGCGGTGGGAATTTATAGTGGGGCGTTCGTGCAATGGATATGAGGTTCTTGAGAGTTCTCGTTTGTTCGAGCGCGTACAGGTAGAAGCAAGAATCGTGTAGCTGGGCCTGGAATGCTTCCACCATTCGCTCTGGACCCTGCTACTCAGGTCTATCATAAACTAGATAGTTCTGGGCGCGTCTATAGATCGTCGCATTCCTATTTGACGCTTTCTGCGGCAGATTGTCACAAAAGCACACAGAGCACAACGAGCGACCAGGTAAATCGGCCGGCCAACTTGTTTCCCTTTTTCCTTTTCAAGTTTATATTTCTTTTCATAAAAATGTTCCTAAATTTCAAAAAAATACATAAAAATGTTTATGTTTTCAAAATTTGTGCATAAATTCAGGAAAAAGTGTTGCATTACAAAAGCTATTCTCATTTTAAAGATTATTAGGAATTTAAAAAAATGTTTCCTTTTTAAAAATATTTTCATAAATTTGTTCATGGTTTCAAAATTTGTTCCCCCTTTTTAAAATTTGTTGACAAATTGAAAATATGTTCACAGCTTCAAAAAATATTCCCCCCTCTTTCAAATTTTGTTCACAAACTCAAAACAATTTGGGAATTTAAAAAATATTCTTGGCTTTAAAAATTGTTTGTATTTTAAGAAGTTTCTTCATAAATTCAAAAAATGTGTGCACTTCTCAAAATATGTTGAGATTTCAATTTTTTAAAACTTTATTTAAAAAATGTTCTCTTAAAAAAATAATTCGCACTAACTCATTTCGGTTAGCTACAGTAGCTTGGTTCAAACAATAAAAATGAAGAATTCGCACTAACTCATTCCGGTGAACCAACCAAGTTAGGCCATGTGTTTGCCTTGAGTTTGTATTTTCCTCTATATTTTTATTTTTGTTTATATTTCGAAATGTTTATATTTCTTCTAATTTAGGCCATATGAGGAAATAAATTTCAGACATGTAAAATGATAGAAATGTTTAGAGGGAAAGAAAGGGGACCAGATCCCAAGCAAAGCATGTGGCTAAGATTGCCGTCTCTACAGAGAAACAAAATAGCTCTGCTTTTCTTGAGAGAAACACAAGTGTTTCCTATCACCAGTGATAATTACCACCACTTGCGTTTTGTATGTTGTATATAGTATCTGTCAAAATCGACAGTATGTACGTGTAATATGTAATATATAACAATGTTTGGATAGTATATATACTACTTTTTATGTACTATGTATAATATTTTAAGCATACTCTTTTTTACGTACAAATATATATGTATTTCACAAATATAACAAAAAATATGGACTCATATGCAGTTTTTTCATTTACTTGCTTTGAAATATCTTAAATATAGTATATGAACATATTTAAAATAATACAGTATTATATATACTACTACATGATATTATGTGAAACATGTGGGGTAACTACCCCCAGATGGTTCCTCAAAAAAAATTACCCCCAGATGGTAGGATGCATTTTTTCTATACATATACGTGGTGATACTTAACTTCTAGGTACAATGCATAAAAATTGAAAATGAACAATACTAAAACCAATAATCCCTCTTTAGGGGGCAGTATTCTGGCAACACCTCGCTAGCAGCTCCCTGATGCGTGGCGGCTTCCCAAGGAGTTCTCCGCCACATGTCGATATGCCTTTTGCTGGCGGACGCGCGTGAATGATCTTGCCATTTCGTTGGGCGCCCATCGGAGCTCTTCATCAGTAGCACGCTCGGGCTTATAGGCCCACCTCCATGCAACGATGAGCCGCCAAGCGCCTTTGGCCTTCCTGGCGAAGTACCGACCGTCTTCGTACACCTCCTCCGCGTGTCGACGCGCCCGCCGCCAAAGCTCCAACGCTTCCTTTTCCCAAGCGGCTTCACGGGGTGCCTGCTACCTGGCTCGCTCCTCCGCCGACTCCTTCTTGAACGCCACTTGTCTGGCTTTCTCAGCCAGCACAACGTCTTCCACAGACAAAG